TTAGAATGTACATTGCAATGAATTATCTAGGAAAACATATTCTTCTAAAAACTATGAAACAAATGCATTTTAACATGGGATAATTTTTAATTGATTTAATTTTGTAAAGTCCAGAAATAACTATGTACTCATTTAAAGTGAAATTAATTGCCTAGAGGCCAATGTTCCTCTATTGAAACAAACTCAGGGATAACAAATGATTAATACACAAGATAAATAATTCATGCATTTACTTAAACATTTATTAAGCTCCTACCAAGTACAGATTACTAAGTAAAATTATGTTAGATCCCATTTCCGATAAAAGATTTTGTATCCTCTGCCTTCAAGAGTTATATTTTAGTAAATAAACTTATTTTCAAATTTTAACATCACTATAGTTTATGATATAGATAATACTATCAAGTGCAAAGTGTTGCAGGAAGTCAGGGACCCTGAATGGAGGGACCACTGAAGCTGCAGCTGAAGAACACACATTGTGAAGATTTCAAGGACATTTATTGGTTCCCCAAATTAATACTTTTATTATTTCTTATGCCTGTCTTTACTGCAATCTCTGAACATAAATTGTGAAGATTTCATGGACACTTATCACTTCTCCAATCAACACCCTTGTGATTTCCTATGCCTATCTTTACTTTAATCTCTTAATCCTATCATCTTCGTAAGCTGAGGAGGATGAATGTTGCCTCAGGACCCTGTGATGATTGCGTTAACTGCACAAATTGTTTGTAGAGCATGTATGTTTGAACAATATGAAATCTGGGCACCTTGAAAAAAGAACAGGATAATGGCAATGTTCAGGGAACAAGAGAGATAACCTTGAACTCTGACTGCCAGTGAGCCAGGTGGACCAGAGCCATATTTCTCTTCTTTCAAAAGCAAATAGGAGAAATATCGCTGAATTCTTTTTCTCAGCAAGGAACATCCCTGAGAAAGAGAATGCAACCCTGAGGGTAGGCCTCTAAATGGCCCCCTTCTGGGAGGCTGTCTTCTATGGCCAAAGGGATGAAATAAGCCCCAGTCTCCTGTAGCGCTCTCAGGCTTATTAGGATGAGGAAATTGCCGCCTAATAAAGTTTGGTCAGACAGGTTGTCTGCTCTCAAACCCTGTCTCCTGATAAGATGTTATCAATGACAATGCATGCCCGAAACTTCATTAGCAATTTTAATTTTGCCCCATCCTGTGGTCTTGTGATCTCACCCTGCCTCCATTTGCTTTGTGATATTCTGTTACCTTGTGAAGCATGTGATATCTGTGCCCCACACCCTATTTGTACCCTCCCTCCCCTTTTGAAAACTGCTGATAAAAACTTGCTGGTTTTACAGCTTGAGGAGCATCACGGAACCTGCCAACATGTGATGTCTCCCCTGGACACTCAGCTTTAAAATTTCTCTCTTTTGTACTCTTTCCCTTTACTTCTCAAACCAGCCAAAATGCTTAGGGAAATAGAAAAGAACCCACATTAACCATCGGGGGTGGGTTCCCCTGATAGCAAAGAAAATGCACATTTAACACAGAAGGGTGTTTTTATATACACTTTTGGTGAAAAAGCAATCATGAGAAATCTGACAAAATTAAAATAAATTTTGTATTTTATTATAGAGGTAGAAAGTTAAAAATTAAATATGCAATTTATATTAATTTACATTCAGTTATATTAATTACAATTTATATTTATAAAACTGATACAGCTGAAAATTAGTTCCAAGTTTTCTTTGAAAAAATGGTATTAGAAGCATTTATAATATTTTTAGCAAGGATAGTACATACTAGTGGAAAACAACTAACCTAGGAATTTACTATGAAAATGCAATACAGGTTGCCATGTAACTATTTGTAAGTAACTATTTACATAGACTGGGTTTGCAGCAGCAGATAGGGATTTTAAAAAGAATGAATCCCCAGTTAGCTCTGATTCAAGGAATTATCAGAACTTTACATCTTAAAACAAACCACCTCCAAAATGTTTTATTTGTAAAAAATATTCTAAACAATCTTCAATCTCATTTTTCTCAATACTGATCAATTATCATGATTCTGCAAATTTGAGTGACTCTTAATGAATACACTCGGGATATTCAGTGTCTTTCAGTTCAACCTTGCCTGTTCCCTGTTTTGTTTTTCTGGGCTGAATCTGCATCAATAGCTCAAAGGATTGTGCATTAGAAACTTATATTTTATGGAAAAAAGCACATATTCTATAATGTTTTATTTAAAAATAAAAGTATCTTCAAAAACAATCATTTCCTTTATTAAAGATAATAGATTTTCAGTGTTGTTGCTCAAAGAAAAGAATTGCCATATAATACTGATATTGCAATTTGAGTGACATCTCAAATTACTTCCATAAATTTCAATCTAAATAGAAGCATCAGGCCAAGGAGTCCTCAAAACCAATTATGCCCTAAGAGGTACCCTTGAAATCCGTATATAAAGAGGGTGCATTTTCTAAAAGAGAACTATTGCTTGAGAAAGGCAAAATTGAAAGGAAAAGTATAAGAACATAGATTTCACCTATCTCAGAAATACATGCTAGCCAGAGTAGTCTCAAGAAAAGACACAATCATGAGGTGAAAAGAAAGCTACTTCAGTCAGCAAAATTAATACAGCTTGGAAATTAAAGGTATTATAGCTGAAAATTTCAAATTTGGCATTTTCTCAATACTGAATCTTAGTAGTGAGAATTATAAATATATGCCAAGGATGTTAAGTGCTTTTAGGAATCAAAGTTTATGCAAAGTCCTCCAAGGTTAGGCAGAATTTTTTTATTATCAGTGAAAAGTTTCCTGAAATAGATGCCAGTGTTTGAAATGTTAACTGAGATGAAAGAGAGAAATTAAACTGCAATAGAGAAATCAGGATTTTAAGGGAAACACAGAAAATTTAGCTGATCCTCCTAGGTCAGTGGCATTTATTTAGGCCCTAACATAGTACGTCTGGCTTCTCTAACCAGTTTTCTAAAATAACTATCAGACTCTCCTCTTGAATCTTTTCTGTGACTATTTTCTTTCTTTCTTGTACTCTAATTTATCTTGAACATGATCTCTGAATTAATGTCCTTTCATTCTGTTAGTGTTCAAAAAATCTACAACAGCTCCTAGTTGTCTTCCTAAGCAGATTTAAATTTTATTCTCTCTTTTCTTTTTTTTCATTTCTCTGCATTATTTTTATCTCCCACTTAGACACTACTCCCAAGTATGGACTTTTCTCTAGAGTTGATATCGTCATTCTGTATACAGTGTACTTGCCTAGTATAACATTTCTCAACTTGCTTCCTTGCTGAAACCCATCTTCTCTCCTTCATAAGCTGAAATTCTTCCTATCCGTTCTTCATATCCAAGCTTCATCCTAAATTCTACTTATTTACATTTTTCTTCTTTTTTTTTTATAGTGTTTTGCAGATACACTATTTGCTCTGAATAATTTATAATGTAGGCGTTTATCATCGTGTTTTTCACTTTTATATACATTGAATCTTAAAACATATATAAGACAGTAAGCTACTGAATGACATGAACTACATCTTATGTTTTTATACTATAGGATAGACAGTGAGTACATAGAGGAAGGTATTTTGTTTCATTTAATAAAAGTGGAATTCAAGGAGTATTATTAAAATACATGTTGTACAATGAAGGATAACTAATTAAAAATTAGTGAAGGAATTGAGAATAAAGGTAATGTGGTAGTTTTCCATGTGACTTAAAAGCAATAGAAACTGGCTGGGCATGGTGGTTCATGCCTGTAATCCTAGCACTTTGGGAGGCTGAGGTGGGTGGATTACCTGAAGTCACGAGTTTAAGACCAGCCTGGCCAACATGGAGAAACCCCGTCTCTACTAAAAATACAAAAAATTAGCTGGGTGCAGTGGTGCGTGCCTGTAATCACAGCTACTGGGGAGGCTGAGGCAAGAGAATCACTTGAATCCAGGAGGCAGAGGTTGAGGCAAGTGGAGATCACGCTACTGCACTCCAGCCTAGGCAACAGAGAGAGACTTCATCTCAAAAAAAAAAAAATTGAAATTGATTGACCCATGATCTCTTTGACTAAATAAAACACCAGGTAACTATTTCACCTGCCAATATTATTATTTCCTACAATACAGATAATTCATGTTTTTGTTTTCCCATATATTTTCTGAACCTTCCTTGCCATACTCCATATGGAGATCAGGCACATGGGGGTGGCTGGTTGGGGGTAAGAGGGAATATATCCAACAAATTGTTTTTCCTAGGCTTCTGGGCTAATTGAATTTAGTTTAGATATCCTTTTATTATTTCCTGACTTCCATTTTCCGTTAAGATCTCAGTTGTCAGTTATACAACTTTTTCATTAAATGCTATACATCACTTTTCCCCTCCAGCTTCTTTTAATATCATCACTTGGTCTTTGATTTTCAGCTATTTGATTATAATACACCTAGGTATTTTTTTCTTTGTATTTTTCCTACTTGAATTCACTGGCAATATCTTTCAACTGACATGGGAAGTCATTCACCATCATTTTTTCCAGTTTTTTTTTTTTTTTTTCTAACTCTGCATTCTCCTCTGAGAACCACCCTCCCTGTCACCTTTTTTTTTTTTTTTTTTTTACCATGTTCTGCATATCTCTTATGCTTTGTGTGTTTTATGTGTCTACTCTTTTTTCTCTCTCTGTTTTAGTTTGTGTATTTTTCTAAAACTGTATTTCTGAGTTCAATACATGTTCTAGGCAATGTATGGTCTACTATTTATCACATTCATGAGACCCACTTAACTCTTCTTTATATAAAATATATACACATTCTATTAATTTTCTCCATCTATTTAATCCCCGTTGTTTTCCCTTTTCTCTTTTTCTACCGTTTATAAATATCCATGGTTTGAAGTCCTTATAGAACAGCTATAATAATTATATCATCTCTGGGTCTGCTCTGTTTATAGACTACTGTATCTCTTTGTTACATATAATTCATTCCTGTTTAGTCATATGACTGGTGATTTTATATCTTATCTCACCTATTGGTTATGAGACATTATAGAGACACTGGATTACATTGCCTTCTCCATCTCCTAGGTATATTTGTAGGGCATGGATCTTAAGCCTAGGATCTTTTTCTTCATTTTACAGCATGGTTTTCCTTTAACAGAAGTCCTGGGTTTCACTAAAATAGCTTATTTTTTTGCTGAGCTTGAATTCCAGTATCTTTGTAGAGTTTTGCATCCACTAGAAGGAAAGTAACTAGAAAAGAGGAATATGACATATTTATTGCTTATCAAACATCATCCAAACTAGTGAACCAAATATACAGTATTTTATAGAGTTTTGTGGCTCCTTCTTCATAATGATTTTCTCTTTGACTCCTGAAACTCAAGTCAGAAAGGCAGCAATGAATACAATTTCACTTTTTTCTAGCCAGTGATTGTATTCATTCATTTTCACGCTACTGATAAAGACATACCTGAGATGGGGAAGAAAAAGAGGTTTAATTGGACTTACAGTTCCACATGGCTGGGGCAGTACAGTATGAGGTGAAAGTCACTTCTTACATGGCAGTGGCAAGAGAAAAATGAGGAAGAAGCAAAAGCGGAAATGCTTGATAAACTCATCAGATCTCATGACACTTATTAACTATCATGAAAATAGCACGAGAAATACCAGCCCCCATGATTCAATTACCACCTCCTGGGTCCCTCCAACAACATGTGGGAATTCTGGGAGATACAATTCAAGTTGAGATTTGGGTGGGGGGACAGCCAAACCATAGCATTCTGCCTCTGGCCTCTCTCAATCTCATAACCTTACATTTCAAAACCAATCACGCCTTTCCAACAGTTCACCAAAGTCTTAACTCATTTCAGCATTAACCCAAAAGTCCACAGTCCAAAGTCTCATCTGACACAAGGCAAGTCCCTTCTGCCTATGAGCCTCTAAATTCAAAAGCAAGCTAGTTACATCCTAGATAAAATGACGGTACAGGTATTGGGTAAATACAGTGATTTTAAATGGGAGAAATTGGTCAAAACAAAGGGGTTACAGGGCCAATGCAAGTCCAAAATTCAGCAGGGTAGTCAAATTTTAAAGCTCCAAAAAGATCTCCTTTGACTTCCTGCCTCACATCTGGGTCACGTTGATACAAGAGGTGGGTTCCCATGGTTTTGGGCAGCTCCACCTCTGTGATTTGGAGGGTACAGCCTACCTCCAAGCTGCTTTCATAGGCTGGTATTGAATATATGCAGCTTTTCCAGGTGCACAGTGTAAGCTGTCAGTGGATCTACCATTCTGGGGTAGGCCTTCTTCTCACAGCTCCACTAGATAGTGCCCCAGTAGGGACTCTGTATGGGGGCTCTGACCCCACATTTCCCTTCTGCACTGCCCTAGCAGAGGTTTTAGATGAGGGCACCATCCCTATAGCAAACTTTTGCCTGGGCATCCAGGCATTTACATAAATCTTCAGAAATCTAGGTGGAGGTTCCCAAACCTCAATTCTTGACTTCTGTGCACCTGCAGGTTCACCACCACATGGAAGGTGCCTGGGTTTAGGGCTTCCACCCTCTGAAGCTGCAGCCTAAGCTGTCTGTTGGCCCCTTTCAGCCATGGCTGGAGCAGCTGGGACAAAGAACATAAAGTCCCTAGGCTGCACACAGCATGGGGACCCTGGGCCTGGCCCATGAAACCCCTTGTCCTTCTGGGTCTCTGCGCTTGTGATGGTAGGGCCATGAAGGTCTCTGACAGGGCCTGGAGACATTTTCCCCATGGTCTTGGGGATTAACATTAGGTTCCTTGATGCTTATGCAAATTTCTGCATCCAGCTTTAATTTATCCCCAGAAAATTGATTTTTCTTTTTGATCACAGAGTCAGGCTGCAAATTTTCCAAACTTTTATGAATGCCTTTAACAGAAGCCAAGTCACCTTTTGATTGTTTTGCTGCTTAGAAATTTCTCCTGACAGATACCCTAAATCACCTCTCTCAAGTTCAAAGTTCCACAAATCTCTATGACAGGGGCAAAATGCTGTCTGTCTCTGTGCTAAAACATAACACGAGCCACCTTCACTCCAGTTCTCAGGAAGTTCCTCATCTCCATCTGAGACCACCTCAGCCTGGACCTTATTGTCCATATCAGTATCAATGGTTTAGGCAAAGCTATTCCAAAAGTCCCAACAAAGTTCCAAATTTTCCCACATTTTCTGGTCTTCTTCTGAGCCTTTGAAACTGATCCAACCTTTCCCTGTTACCCAGGTCCTAAATAGCTTCCACATTTTCAGGTATCTTTTCAGCAATCCCCCACTCCTGGTACACATTCACTGTGTTAGTCCATTTTCACACTGCTGATAAAGATATACCTGAGACTGGGAAGGAAAAAAGGCTTAATTGGACATATGGTTCCACATGACTGAGTAGGCCTCAGAATCAAGGCAGGAGGCAACAGGCACTTCTTACATGGTGGTGACAAGAAAAAATGAGGAAGAAGCATAAGCAGAAACCCCTGATAAATCCATCAGATCTCATGAGACTTACTATCATGAGAATAGGATGGGAAAGACCTCATGATTCAATTACCTCCCCCTGGGTCCCTCCCACATGTAGCAATTCTGGGAGATACAATTCAAGTTGAAATTTGGGTAGGAACACAGTCAAACCATATCAGTGATATTGCCACTTTCTGTTTAAATTCTATTTACCTGCACTGTGATTTTGGAAGTGCTCCTAGAGAGAAAGCCAGAGTGCAAGCCTGATGGTTCATTTTATGTGCTTCTCTTCTCTCAAGGACTCTCAACTGCATTGTTAATTTCCCAATGTCTGTTTGAAGTGTTTATATAAACTTTCTATTGTTGTTGTTATTATTATTATTATTACTTAGTTAGTTAGTTACTAAGTGGATAGAATAAGTAAAACAGCATCTGCATGGACAGTGCTGGGGCCTGCTTTTCTTGTAATTCCAAAATTTCATGGCACAGATGCTTCCTTGAAGAGAAGTTGAATATTGTCTAAGTGTAATGCAGTCAAATCTGTGCATGGAATAAAAGTGAAATTTGTTAACTAGGAGGAAAGAATATGGGATAGGTATTTATTGCTTATGAAACATCACCCATATTTTCTAATTTCTTGTTGATATAGTTTGGCTGTGTCCCCACTGAAATCTCACCTTGAATTGTAATAATCCTCACATGTCAAAGGCTGGACCATGTGGAGATAATTAAATCATGGGGGCAGTTTTCCCCATACTGTTCTTGTGGTAGTGACTAAGCCTCACGAGATCTGCTGGTTTTATGAATGGGAGTGCCTCTGCACAAGCTCTCTTGCCTGTTACCAGGTACGATGTGAATTTGCTCCTCATTCACCTTCTGCCATGATTTTGAGGCCTCCCCAGCCACGTGGAACTGAGAGTCAATTAAACCTCTTTCCTTTATAAGTTACCCAATCTTGGGTATGTTTTTAATAGCAGTGTGAGAACAGACTAATATACTTGCTTTAGGATTTGTGCCAATCTGGCAAAGAGATATGAGCAGAAATAATATAATAAAAGATATGAGCAGAAATAATATAATAAAAGTCTCTGTAAAATTCTCATAAGAATTCTTCTCTTTGAAGCTCTTGATATGACAAGAAAATTCTTGAGTCACTAGTTAGAAGTAATCAACCAAGCAGCATTGGACTACATCTGAATAAAAACCATTCTTTTTTTTTTAATTGAGATATAATTCACCATTTAAAAGTATACAACTCAGTGATTGCTTTTTTTAGAAACACGTTAACAACTTGTATATCTAGATGGATGGTGTACAAAAGAGTGGTTTGTCATATATTTTTACTTTTCTGTGTGTTTGTAATTTTTTTTATTATACTGTAAGTTCTGGGATACATGTGCAGAATGTGCAGGTTTGTTATATAGGTATACACATTCCATGGTGGTTTGCTGCACTCATCAACCTGTCAACTACATTAGGTATTTCTCCTAATGCTATGCCTCCCCCAAGTCCCCACCCCCCAACAAGCTCCAGTGTGTGATGTTCCCTTCCCTGTGTCCGTGTGTTCTAATTATTCAACTCTCACTTATGAGTGAGAACACGTGCTGTTTGGTTTTCTGATCCTGTGTTAGTTTGCTAAGAACAATGGTTTCCAGCTTCATTCATGTCCCTGCAAAGGACATGAACTCATCCCTTTTTTATGACTGCCTAGTGATCCATGGTATATATGTGCCACATCTTCTTTACCCAGTCTACCATTGATGGGCATTTGGGTTGGTTCCAAGTCTTTGCTATTGTGAATAGTGCTGCAATAAACATACGTGTGTATGTGTCATTATAATAGAATGATTTGTAATCCTTTGGTTATATACCCAGTAATGGAATTGCTGGGTCAAATGGTATTACTGGTTCTAGGTCCTCGAGGAATTGCCACACTGTCTTCCACAATGGTTGAACTAATTTACACTCCACCAACAGTGTAAAAGCGTCATTTCTCCACATTCTCTCTAGCATTTGTTGTTTCCTGAATTTTTAATTGTCGGCATTCTAACTGATGTGAGATGGTATCTCATTGTGATTTCTATTTACATTTTTCTAATGACCAGTGATGATGAGCTTTTTTTCATATGTGTGTTGGTCGCATAAATGTCTTCTTATGAGAAGTGTCTGTTCATATCCTTCACCCACTTTTTGATGGGGTTGTTTGAAAAACCATTCTTTTATTGTGTTTTATCACTTAGATTTCAGGATTTATTTTAGAAACACAGCACATTCACAAAAGTACCATAATTAGTGCAGAAACTCTGGATAAATTCTAGATATAGTTATTTCAATTATTAAGCATATTTTACCACTAGATTCAGAAAGCCCTGACTAAAAGAGAAAAGAGTAATGGTTTTTGGTTTTCTTTTTTAATAAAAGAAATAGTAACCAAAAAACTACTGCTTTGTGGAGTAGCAGTGCATTTAAGTCTTCCTGAGTTTCCCAAGAAAACAGACACCGGGAATAATATGTTAAGAAAGAAATAAGTTAATAAGTAAAACATCAAAATTATTTTAAACAAAAGTAGGTAAAGAGGTAGCAATAAAATTTCAAAATTCCATTGATCTGTGCCAAACTACCAACATAAACAACACCTTTGTATATAATTAACAGTGTGCGAGAAACTAGAAAGAAGATAAATAAAATAATTTCTGGCAGCTCTGATGTTGGTATACCCAGAAACTGCTAAAAATGATTCGTTCAGACAGCAAGAGAAGACACTATGGAGTATAAGTCAGATGTAACAATCTGAGGAAAATAGCTAAACAACAGTAGAGGAGGCTTTGCTCTCTCCATTTCAAGGGGAGTTTGAGGGGACTCCAGAGTGTTAGTGCTGAGATTGTCTGGATGTCATGGAAGTTTAAAATCAACCAGCCAAAGAAGGTTTCTTCCAGGGCAAAGCCCATGCTAAAGAGAAACTGTTAGGAATAGAACACAAATTCAGCAAGAAAAACATTCTAACAAGAGAGAAACATAGAAAGAGAGACAGAAAATATTGATTTTAATGAAGAAGAGGGAAATCAAGAAGGTTCTCAGCACTTGAACTAACTTGTTGATACTTCACTATAGAAAGCTCTGGAGTCATAAAGCTATGAAAGTTATCCTGGCATATTCCCATGCTGGGTAATTTAATTTGAAAAATACTTTAAAAAAACCCATCTCGTGTAAATATTTAGAATACAATAGGATGTGGATGAATTCCATACAAACTCAATCCAGGTAAAAAGAAAATTATGAGCAAAATAAACTATTTTCAAACAGCAAAGACATACCAAAATAACATGACCTTCCCACTTAACATTTTTTGGCAGGAAGACTAGCTTAATATTTCAAAATAAGCAGTGAAATTAATTTATGAATAAAAGAATAAATAAGAACTAGAAAAAAAATTTTAAATTATGTCACTAAGGAACTTCTGAACTCTGAGAGAGTTCAGAAATGATTTAGAAATAAATTTCAAAAGTTAAGACAAAACTAAATAGATAATGAAAGTTAATGCATATTCTAAATAATATGGTAAAAACGATAATAGAAAATAGAAAAATTGAAATTAAAATCAAGCAAAAATAAAGAAACACATAAATGAGGGAGGAACTGAAAGAAAAAAAAAGATAGGGAAAATAGTTCTAATGTATGGGTTAAAAGACAAAAATGAAAACAAAAGCGAGAGCAAAGCATAAATATGAAAAACTGCAATTTAATAAAACTTTTCTGAAATAAAATAAGAATGATCTCTTCCTATTGAAAATGAATACCATGCCTCTGAAAAGCTTTTCCCAGGCATCCAAAACCAACACATATTGCGGTAAAATGATTTGACTTAAGCTTCAAATGATTTCACAAGTGAATTACTTTAAAGAACTTTAAAGATAATCCTAGTACAACTTCAACAATTTTAAAGCATAAAGGGAGCAAAACTTCAAAAATTCTTATAATGAGGTGAATATAACATTGATTATAAAACCTGATCAAAATCACACAAAAGAGGAAACTATAAAACAATTTTTCATGTGAATATTAATAAAAAATTTCAATTTTTAAATGTAATATAATTGTAATATAAACACCATTTTTTAGCTAGAAGAGTTTATTATAAAGTTCATGTGAATGGACAAACAAGGAAAAAATAGGATGATTGTAAAAATTGTGAAAAGGGTATGCTGGCCATGTCCTATATGAAATGTATTATGTATCTCTATAATTAAGACAGTAAGATATTACACCATGAATGGGCCAGAATAGCACATCTGGAAATGGACACATTTGCAAATACAAATTTAGTATATCATAAAGGTTGCATCAGAAATCGGTGAATAAAAAATGTACTTTATACTAGGTGGTATTGGGATAATGGCAGAGTTATATGAAGAAAACAAAATTATCTTCTTACTGTATGTACAAGTATTAGAAGAAAACATGTATGGATTCATCTATAAATCTAAAAGTAGGTAAAATAGTCTTACCTGTGACTCACCATATAGAAGCAATAAAAGTTAATTTTAGTTAGGTAACTTGTCAAAAATATCTATGACAAATAAATATTATGATCAACAATGACAAATGACAAAATAGTGAAACACATTTGCAACAAAAATGTTTAAAGTCTGTCAAGAATCATTAAATAAGACTTTACGATGCAGGAATTTTGTAATACAGACAATTTAGATACATCCTAAGGACAAAAAGAAATGCAAGGTGTTGCTTTAGCAGCACATATACAAAAATTGGAATGATACAGAGATTAGCATGATGCATGACCAAGGAGGACATGCAAGTTATGAAATGTTTTATATTTTTCTGTACACTTAAAATGGTTAAAATGGTAAATTTTATGTAGTATATATTTTGCCATAATTAAATATATATAAATATGAAAAAATTTTAAAATAATGTGGAAAGCAAAAAAGTGTTAGACAAGGACATCTTCAAATGTTTTCAGTAATCATAATTTCAGGAATAACAATGGTATTGGTTTCATTATGTTTACATTGATACTAAAAAAGTAAAATGACTAACTTATTATATCAGTCACAGTAATAACAATGAGAATAAAAACCAGACATGATCTCCCATTGATGTGACACAGCAGAAAGCTTACAACTCCTCCTATGAAGTGTTCTTACTAAAAAGTAGGACATAAATTATTAGATCACACTCTAGTTTTTCACAGGAAATAAAGAGGTCTGCAGACCATCTTAAGTGTCACAAAAGATTACAATTCACAATAAGCAAAATCAATAAGCAAAATCTTAAACATGCCAAATTATACAGAGTCAATGCCATGGGTTTCTTTATTGAATAAATTGTAAAAAAATAAAATAAAATAAAATAAAACTATACCAATTTACTGCAATGTGTATACTCTCCTGATTCAAACAAACTGACTCTAATTTAAAAACACTATGAGATATTGGAGGAATTGTGAATACTGTGTTTCTCATAACACTAAAGAATCATAGCCATCTACCTTAGGAATAACAAAAATATTGAAGTGACTATTTTTAAAGTTTCTTATAGATACATACTGAAGGATCTATAAATGCAATAATAGGTTATCTACATTGGACTAAAGAAATACCTAGGGTTGGGTATGGGATGAAGAGTAGATATAGACTTAGAGCAAAATATATTCACTGTGTTGAAACTGAATATTGGATTCATAAAGATTCATTGTGTTATTTTTCTCTCTGTTATATACTAATGCATTTTCATAAGTATTTTTTAAGTAATACCAACAATAATTTCAAAGACCAAATAGTATTCAATGAGAGAAAATATTTGTTACAAGTTATTTACAAGGCTTTGATTGAGGAGGAACAATGAAAAAGAACTTAAGCTTATGCAAGCTTCATTTATTTTCTTTTACAACCTTTTTCTTTCACATTGTTTCAACCCACTGTCACATGTACCCTGGCTTTCCTATTTTCAAATGAATATAACTAGACATACAGAAATTTGTCAACCAAAAATTTTTGTCAAATTCTTTTGTGATGAAATAGATATATTTGGCCTTTTTTTTGCCTTATGTAACAAACTAATCTTAAGGATTAGACATCAAATGCCAGCTATTTTTTCTAAGTCTATTTGCTATTTACTCTCTACCAGAGGGAAATGTGACCTCATTGCATGTTCCATATAACACAACAGTACCCTAGTGATTAGTGCATCAGGTCAGATGGGAGAAAAACACATGGCTCTGCACTTACAACCACCTGCGCAGCCGTAACCCAGTTACCAGGGAATCTAAAGAGAAAGAAAAGAAAATGTTAATTGATTAACCACAAGGGACAATAAATTGAAAATATTAAACAATATCCTATATTTATATTCTTGATACAGAGGTAACAGCCTCCTGAAAATATTTATCTTTTAAGCTCTATTGAGCTATAGTAAACATACAAATGTTTTTATTCATTTTAAGTGTGTGGCCCAGTCTTTTTGAGGAATGTCGACCTATTACCACAGTTAAAGTTTAGAACACACCCATCACTTCAAAAAGTCCCCTATGCCCCTTCCAGCCAATACCCGATCCAACTTCTGCAGCTAGGCACACCCAGTGATCTACCAGTATGCAAACTATAGTTCTGCCTTTTTGTAGAATTTTATATAGGTTTCACACAAAACCCTAACGTATGTGCTCTTTAGTGACTAGCTTCTTTTACACAGCTCCTGACAATGTAATACTGGGAAACTTTGCAGTATAATTCAAAAGGAACTCCTTGATGTAATAGGGATACCACTGAAAAGTAGGGCGGAAGGCCTGAATTCAGTCTCTGCAACCCCAGTCTGTACGAACGTATATTTCTTAACTTTCCTCTTTGTCAACAGTCAGATGAGAATAGTACGATTCTGCTCTCCTCAAGGGTGCTGGGTGGGTCTAACTAGAGAGGGTGCACAAAGTGCTTTCTATGGTGAAGACATTACATGGATGAATTCTGGAAAGACAATCAGAGATAAGAGAAATAGGCATTTTTAAAGATGCTATTAATCTAAATAAATGCACATAAACATATAATTTTAAAATTCTACTTTTTTAACTGTGGAGATGAGAATAAGAAGAAGAGATGTTATGAATGGATGGTAAAAGGTTAAATATAATAGAAAAAAATGGAATCAGAATTATAAGAAGAAAGAACAACATTAAGCCTACCTAAATAAAAAAGCAAGCAATCAGCTTAAAAAGTAAACTATATTATTTTCATTTTTAACATTATCATCAAAACTTACCAAGAATTTATTCTACACAGAATATATTACTTGACAAAGTTACAAATATAAAATACATAAAGCATATTATCTATGCAGCCATAAAAATGAATGAGATGATGTCCTTTACAGGAACATGGATGGAGCTGGAGGCCATTATCCTTAGCCGACTAATGCAGAAACAGAAATCCAAATATTGCATGTTCTCACTGATAAGTAGGAGCTAAATGAGGAGAACACATGGACACAGAGAAGAGAACAACAGACACCGAGGCCTACCTGAGGGTAAAGGGTGAGAAGAGGGAGAGGATCAGAAAAAAGTAACTATTGAGTACTAGGTTTAGTACCTGGGTGAGAAAATAATCTGCATAGCAAACACTCGTGACTTGAGTATACCTATAGAACAAACCAGCACACCTATCCCTGAACCTAATATAAAAGTTTTTTTTAAAAAACAGAGTATATGAACATTGACATTTCTAATATCAAAGTAAAACATATATATATATACACACATATATACACACACACACACATACACACACACACATATATATATTTTTTTGCTATTAATTAGTTTTACCTGATGTCAAGGCAGGAGACAATATAAGTTACCTCTCTGTGGCTACCTCCTTACAACCATGATGGATGTCCATTACTGGTCCAGTTTTTTTCGGCATAAAGTTCTCCTATCCCTCTCTATAACCTAAAGAAAGGGAAGCAATTGCAGAGTCAGGGGCTTAAAGATTTCTGAGACCAAAGAGGAAGCTTAGAGGGAAGGGCTCCAGTTTGGGATAAAAGAAATCTTATGATTCTTGAGCAGGCATAAAGGATGATGACATGTGGAAATGGGAAATATGGGCTATACAAGAAGAAATGTTATATGGGCAGTCAAGTTTTGACGGTTGGAAAAAAATACACACACACACACCAAGTTAAATGCCTGGACAATCTCACCAGTTTTCACGTGGATGGAGCTGGAGGCCATTATCCTTAGCAAACTAATGCAGAAAAAGAAATCCAAATATTGCATGTTCTCACTGATAAGTAGGAGCTAAATGAGGAGAACATATGGACACAAAGAGGAGAACAACAGACACTGAGGCCTACTTGAGGGTAAAGGGTGGGAAGAGGGAGAGGATCAGAAAAAGTATCAGAGCCCAGTAAAATATCTGTGATCTCTTCATTAATGATGATGTGAGGAGAAAGAATTTGACCTACTGAACTGATGTAGCTAGTTAAAAATATAACTAATTCCCCTCAATTCAGTCACTGTGTCCAAGAAAATGTACAAAATATACAAAAAGTAAAATTTAAATTAGTGTAATAAATGTTGAAGTATGTAACATATTGGACAATAGTTTTATTAGTAATAAAAGTGAATCATTGATAGTTAGAACATTTGAACATACCAGGCAGAAGTTAATTTACATAAAAAAATTAAAAATTTAAATTTTAGAATTAGAAAATAAAATATCAGAAAAGATTACATAATGTGCTCAATATTAGTAGTAAGAGGATCAAAGCCAGACTTTATAATTCTAAGAAAACAATTTACAGCTCCTAAGATGGTTGCCATACCTTTACATATTTGTTCAGTATAATGTATTGAGTGCCTATAATGTATCAAGTTCTGTTCTAGCTGCTAGAGATAAAGCAGAAAGCAAAACAAAGCAGTGAACAAAAATAAAGTCCCTCCGTTTGTGGAGTATATATACTAAAGGAAGGTTGCAAGATAGTATATAAGTGATAGTGGCAGGAGACAGACAAATTCCTAGGGAGACAGGGGCAGGTCCCCAGTGAAACCTGACCTTCAAACCAAAGACAATTTAAAACCTGAAAACGGAGCTGCCAGTTCTGGATAGAGTCCATGATCAGAATGAGAACTTTTATTCCTGTTTGCCTACTGTTTCCCAATTGGTTCTTTCTGAATGATGCCTTTTAACTAATTGAACGTTGCGTTTTCCAAGGCTATCCACAGTCCATGCCTCTTCATTCCAAACCTATAAAAACTTCTGGACTCAGCCACACAGACGGCTACCCCCTTTCAGTCCCCTGTCACACAGAAGACTACCCACTTTGGGTCCCTTCTTGTTGTCAAGAGCTTTTCTGTAACTCAATATTCTTCTCTGCTTTGCTCACTCTTCGGTGTCTGCATACTTCATTCTTCTTGGAGGGCCGTAACGCTCTCCAGGCCAGCTTGCCGAGTGGTGGGCAGCATGAATGAAAAGAGCTGTGACACGCTCCTGTTCGCCGGACTAGGGAGTGAAGAGCTGTGACCATTTTGGGGACCCAGACCTTGGGACTCCCTGAGCCAGAGCTTTAATATGCCCCTGTTCACCAAGCCGTGGGCTGCAGGAACAAACGAGTTATGTAACACATCCTCCCCATTGGCAAAGCTGCAAGTGACAGGAATGAGAGAGAAAACTGTGGCATTCAGACCTCGAGACTCCCCAAGCAGAAGCTGTGACACCCTCTTGGGGGCTCCGTGGTTGCTGGTTTCTCTAGGTTTACAGGTGTCACCATGTCCTCCTCATACTGACACTGGTGCCCAAGGCGGAAGGTGGTCGCAGCACACCCAGATCAGCCACGGGCTGAACGCAAATCTGTGGTGGGTGCCGTATCCCGGCTGGTGGCAAGAGTTGCGCACAGCCTGCTGGACTGAGTGGACAGAGCGAGACCGGGGGCTCCAGGAAAGCCCAGGCAGTGGTTCCACCAGCTGTGGAGACTTTCAGCTGTTGAAACAGCACGAAAAGGATCCTGTGTCAGAAGCATGTATTTAAAACATGTATTGTTATATAAATTAACTTCTGCCTGATAATGTTCAAATGTTCCAACTATTAATGATTCACTTTAATTACTACTACAACTACTCTTCAATATGTTACATACATATTTTATTACAAACATAAAATAAATATGTATAGTACAATGTCATATAATGCTGTAAGAGAATTAGAAAGGGTTCGAAGACAGGAAAAAATAGTGAAACATACTTTTAGACAGCGTGTCTAGGGAAGATGTCTCTGGAGAGTTAACGTTTAAGATTTATTTTAAATGAGATTTTAGACAGGGATAAGTGGGTATGGAAACTCCAAAGTGGAAATATGTGAAGCATGAGATATTAATGGCCAAGAGGTCAGTGTAGCTAGAGAAGGAAAAGCCAGGGAAAATCATTAGATTTGTTCAAGAAGTCTAGACATTTTAGGTAAACATATATAATATATTTATTATATTATGTCTAGACTTCAATAAATCTAATGATTTATATATATATATATAAGCATATAAATATATAAAATGTGTCATTATTGTTTAGAGAACCTCTCAATGCTTATTCCACATCCTCACAATTTCAATTTATGTTTTTTGACCCTGGTCACATTTCTGTGATACCTTCCTAACCTTGCTAAATAGCAAGCATGCCCCTCTATTTTTTCTTTCTACTGAAAGATATATTGATAAATTGATGGATAAACAAATGGTTGTATCAGTTAGCTGTTCTCATAGAAAAGGGTATTCTGTAACTTAGTGGTTTATGCCAATAAGCTTAATGACAGAAGTTTTTTCTAAATATTGAAAGACACAAATAACCAATGCTTACTCAGGAAGGAATAGTCCAAATACTCCTACATCTATGAAGACATTGCATTAATAGTTAAAACTTTCAACTAGAAAAACTGATTCAAATGGCTTTACCAATTAATTCTACACAATATTAAAGGGAAAAATACCAATCCTACAAAAAAACTTATACAAAATAGAAGACAGAGTACATCCTAACTCTTTTTATTTGGCCAGCATTACAGTGATACCAAAACTAGACAGTGATATTATAAGAAAAGAAAATTACAGACCAATTTCACTCATAAATATAGAAATAAAAATCATTTAAAATTACTGGCAAATTAATCCAGCATATTTAAATTGGTAATACAAGTGAGATTTATTTTGGAAATGCAAGATTAATATAACCTTCAAATATCAATCAATATAATTCACTTAGACAAAAAGTTTTAGTTCATTTATCAAATATTTTAAGAGGAAGGGTCCCACTCTGTCACTCAGGTGAGATTGCAGTGGTGGAAGCATAGTACAATACAGCCTCAAATTCCTGGGCTCAAGCAATCCTCTTACCTCAGCCTCAAATTCCTGGGATCAAGCAATCCTTTCCCCTCAGCATCCTAAGCACCTGTGACTACAGGCATACACTAGGCTAATTTTTATAGACAAGTTCTTTCTATATTGCCCAGGCTGGTATCAATCTCCTGGCCTCAAGCGATTCTCCTATCTCAGCCTTCCCAGTGGCTAGGATCACATGTGTGAGCCACTATGCCCAGCTACACCAATGTTTTAAAAAAGAAAAGAAAATAACTTTGTCTTTTCATCTAATACATGCCTGAAAAACATTTGACAAACTTCAATATACATTTATGACAAAAATCTCTCCTCAAGCTATGAACGAAATTTAAAATTTTCAATCTTAAGAAGGATATTGATTGAGAACTACAGGTAACATCATATTCTATTGTTAAACACTAATTTTTTTTTTTTCTTATGAGTAGAGTCAAAAGAAAAATATCCACTTGCACAACTCATCCTACAGCATACATGCCAGTGCTATAAGACAAGGAAGAAAACATAAGTGATAAAGTTTGGAAAGTAAGAAATAAAACTGTCTTTACTCAGAGGCAATGAATGTTTACACATGAAAGTTCCAAATAATTTACCAAAATTAATGAGTTTTACAGGTTACAGAAAACAAGCTTATCCTATAAAAACTGTTATCTTTAAATATACTAGCAATAAACAGTTGGATATTGAAATGTTAAAAATATTATTTGCAATTGCACTAAAATGTTAATTAATTAGGAGTAAATCTAAATAACATGGACATGGTTTGTTTATTAAAAACATACATTTTGAGAACTATTAAAGAAGATATAAGTAAATGGAGAATTATATCATATTCATTGAGTAGAAGACTCAAAATTTTCAAGACATACATTCTTCTAAAATTGATCTATAGATTGTGCACAATTTAAAAGAATCCTGTATGGCCTTTGAAGAAGCCTACAAGCTGATTTTAACTTTATATGAAAAAGCAAGAGGCCTCATATCTCCAAAATCATTTTTAAAATGAAAAAGTTAGGAGACTCAGTACCCAATTTTAAGATGTTCTATGAATCCACAGTTATCAAGATAGTATGGCACTGGTAATACAAGTGTCACATGTAAGTTGAACAGAATAAAACACACAGAAATAAGCCAACCTGTATATGAGCAAATCACTTCTGATGAAGTTGGCAATGTGATTCAACAGAGAAAGTATAATTACCCAACCAATAGTTCTGAAACACATATCCCATGTGCATGGAAAACAGTAGTCTTAAAGTAAAACCTGAAATTGAAAACTTCTGTCTAGAAGAAAACATAACAGAAAAATCTCTGTGATCTGAGATAAGGCAGTCACTTTTTAGATAGGATTCAAAAGGTCTTTGCTTTTTAAAGAATAGTGTTTAAAAATAGAAGGCAAACCATAGCTTCAGGGCAAATATTTGCAAAAAACACTTAATAAAATAATGGTAACCAAAATAATAATGAAATACAAAAAAAATACTAATAAGAAAAATTAAAAATGGGTAAAATATATTTTAAAAAATTACTACATAAGAGATATGGATTTAAAACAAGGCCAAGTAACAA